ACGAAATTTTGATCGTTTACTCTCACAAGCATTGCATGCAGCGGCTGACTCAAGCTTTAAGTATCAATTGGTTGCGAGTGACTTTAATCTCCCTGAAGTCAGCTGGTCTCCACCTTCAGGCCCAAGAAGGTTCGAAGACTTTCTTGAGGCTGTGGATGTTGGGATGTGGTCTCAGGTTATTGACTTTCCCAAACGAGGGTCAAGCATACTTGACCTAATTTTCTGTAGAGACTGCATACCTTCGTCTTTGTCATCTCTTGGCCCAATCGGGGACTCTACTATGACATTGTTGTTTCAACGTTGGAATTCGAGGCTGACAAAACGTTGTGTCTAAAGGATGACTTTTTCCGCGATTTCCGATCAACACGCTTAAACGAATTATTAACACACCTTAATTCCTACGACTGGAATGTTTTCTTCCTTAGTTCGGATGGTAGCGTTTGCACTGCGAAACTGTCCGAAAATTTAGATCCGCTTATTTCTCGTCTTGGCCCCGTAAGAAAATAATTAATGTTGTGGATGAGGTTTTCCTGTCCTTACACTTTCCTCGCAGATTGCACAGGCTTTATCGTTGTTTTCAATCTTCAGAACGACGTTTCTGTCCTACCCTTGATTTGTGATATTTTTGAGCGGGCTAAGAGATAGTCTGAAGAAAATCAGCTAGCCGAAGCGGTGCAGTTTAGCGAAAATTATTCGTTAAATGTCTCGAAACTTTTCTCTAGAAAAATACGAACTCACAGAAAGACGCATTATACCATCCTCCAAGACGCTCTCGGAAATCCCACAGTTGATGCCCAGTTAACCGCTGATAGCTTCAATGATTTCCTGTTCACAACATTCATTCAAGACTCGAGGGCTCCGCTTCCGACCGTCCAGGCGCTGACCGGGGCAGTTCTCGAAACTATAACTTTCACTCTGTGGGATGTGACTGTTGCGATTCGGCGTTTTCGTCATTCTTTTAGTCCAGGCCCTAATGGTGCCCCACTAAGCATTTTAAAAGCCGACGCAAATACGATTTTCCCATCCCTCTTATGCAAGATAATTAATCTCGCTCTTGAAAGTAAAACTTGTTCTACCCCGTAGAGGGAATCACACATTTTGCCCATTCCTAAGCACGGAAAATCTACGTCACTTGATGCCTTTCGGCCAACAAACACCCTCCCCGCAGTTTCGAAGATCTTAGAGACATTGATCAAAGATAAAATGATGTGTCACTTAACAGTGAATAACCTACTGAGTGCTGCTCAGCGTGGATTCCTCAAAGCTCGGTCTTGTGACACCTGCCAACTCTCTTTCTTTGACTATGTTCTCCAATCTAGGGACAATGGTTTTGCACTTTACACAGTATATTTCGATTTCACTAAGACTTTTGATCGTGTTGACCATGCTCTTTTTCTCTTGAAACCCTCGTCTTTCGGAATAGGTGGCAAACTTTTGAATTTTATATGCTCTTATCTGTGCACTCCTACACAACGAGTCAAGATTTCCAATATTATCTCCAACCCCACACGTGTGAGGAGTGGAGTCATTCAGGGTAGTGTACTCGGTCCACTTTTATTTTGCCTTTTCGTTAACGACGTATTCGATTTATTTCAGAATGGTAAGCCCTGCATGTATGCCGATGATCTTAAAGTTGCATATCGATATAAGCCGGCAGATAGTGACATTGTGCTTGAGCTCCTAAACAGCGACCTACAGGCTTTAACCCAGTGGTGCCGCACACGGCGCCTTTCTCTTTCATGGCATAAATGCTCGCTCATGGTGGTTGGCAACGACCGCCAACCTCACCAAAGCATTGAAGGTCACGCTATAGACGTTGCTGAGGTTATCAAGGATCTGGGCGTATCATACGCCAAGATTCTCAATCTCTCGGCGCACTGTGCCTTGATAGTCTCCAAAGCACGAAGAACGACCGGCGTTACCCTCCGAAACTTCAAAACTATGGACATTAGAATGCGCCTTTTCAAAATCTACATTAGACCTGGTCTGGAATACTGTTCGTTTTATTTAGCCTCATGCGTGCTACTGAGCGGAAGAAAATAGAATCTGTTCAGTACATTTTACCAAGAGAATTTTCGCCCCGGAACACCGACATTTGTCTTACCAAGAACGTTGCCGGCTTACAGACCTCGATCCTTTATGGTTCCGTAAATTACAAAAGGGACTATTTTGCTATTTAAACTCTTATATAATCACACATTTAACCCACTCACCTCTTTAGGACATCATATCCACCCACGACGTAACAGTCACCGTGAGGTCTTTTTATTTCTTCCACTGGCACGTACTGTTAAATATCGTCGGTTCTATTGTGTAAATGCAATTGCTATTTGGAATAAACTACCCATGAGTGTGAAAACTCTGCAAAATTAGCCTTTATTTAAGAGAACTTTGCTCGATTTTGCATTCAGAAAAGCTCCTAGAAATTTTGGGTGCTGAATCCACTGATCGACTGTACCGTAGTGATGGCGTTTGTGGTCTCTGACCACCATGGCCGGTCTCACCAGAGACAGTTTCTTTGGACAACAGCGTTATCTCTTTTTCGGCGCTTCTGTTCGGACAGGCCCCAAATTCATGAAGTATATTGGCGACTGACATTATCCGATACCGTACAACTCCTCCCTTCTTGACCGTGGAAAGTTTGCCGCCAGCAGTATTTTTCCTCCTCAACCCTCCAAATCATGAAAATCACCATCAACGGTGTTTTTATTCCTTTTCGACCGACGTTTTTTTTTCGCTGTTGATCAGATTTGTGTTAAACGCTTCTCTGACAATGCCTGTAAACTGATATTAAATAAAAATGATTGTGTCACTTATTATAGCGCTTTGCTTTCGTCGATATTCGAATTGAGTCTTTGTCCATTAGTATACGAAAATCTAAATTTGTCCTGAGAATCGATTATACATATGAACTAACTCTCAATGAATCCCAGCCAGCACATGGCCCCGTCATAGGCGGGGCTGGGAAGCGGATGGGTGGTGCCAGAGCCCCCTCTGGATTGAAGCATTTTGAAGCGTATTTGCATCGAAAGTTATTTTTCAAAAACACTACTCATTGTACCTTCTTTGGCATTAAAACGAATTAATTTATCAAAAGTGGCTTATAAATCATGGAAAAAACATTCGTGTATGCCCACATGTCGCGGATAATATCGTGTGCCAACGAATGCTGTTTTCATTCTCTTACTAACTGTCTTACTTATTTTATGTACCTTATGCTAATTGTTTGTGTATTTACTCACAAACCACTTCAAGTAGTCGACTTGTATGTCTATGTATGTACTATTTAACCATGGTGTTTCTAGTCCGCTTATACAAATTGTTTATTGTTTTTTACTGAATATCCAAAGCAATTACGAAGCGCAATTACTGCGGCTATCACCAAATCATCATATACAAACTCATTAAGCGCCATGTGAAGGCATATAATGAGGCCACTGAAGAGCCTGACTCTGAGGTTCCCTCAAAGTCGACAGCAGTTGGCAATCAATCTCCTGAACGAGAAATGCCTATTCTGAGCCCTGAAACATCTGCCGGCTGGTATTATATGTGTACGCCTTAGGGGACTTATCATACAGGTCGATATTTTAAAGGATTGTCAAAAGTGTGTGGAAATCTGGCGTCCCCTGCGCATTTTTTCGCTGGTGGGGCCAGGCGGGGCTCTCGTGTTGAATTCCCTGCCACAGCCCCTTCTAAAGCCCCACCAAGACCCTTCATAGCCCTCTCTAGTCCCGCCATATTTGAGGGGGTTACGCGGGGCTGGTGCTGACAGGGTTAATTGCAGGTTGATCAGGCCCAAAGGATAGGCGATCCCCTCACCAAATGGTCATTTTGCGCTAATAAACCTAATCTTCTACTGTTCCCTCCTATCTGTGAATTTTATTTCGCTGGTGGGGCCAGGCGGGGCTGTTGTGTTGAATGCCCCTCCACAGCCCCTTCCACAGCCATTTTTGTTGGGGCTAGGCGGGGCTAGGAGGGGCTGGTGCTGGGAGGGATACCGAAGCGTAATAAGGCTTTACTCATCTCTGAAGTTGGCCTGCGCATCTTGACCTTGAGGTAACTTTGTATCTAAAAAAGCTGCTGTCCGAAAAATGAGCGTCACCCAGAACAGGAATTGTCGTCCAAGACAATAACCAAATCCCACAGAGCCAATTTTTTCATGGGATACGGGTGAAGGGAGATTAATTTATAACCGGTGGCCGATGAATTTTCCATTTGTGTAACAGTCTGTATAGAAAGTTGCACCCTCCTCCGAGATTAGACCAGGCTGAGAAACCAAGGATCAAAAATCAATCACGATAGAAGGTGCATATGGTAGATAAGGCATTTAGTAATTATGAAATTTACCCTGAATACAGGAGGCGCGTAGTGGCTCTTTAAAGAAGGACAACCTAGAATACTTTTTACGTTTCTATGTAAATTATGCAAGGTAGTAATTAAATGAACAAACAAAAGGCACAATATATAACTGAGTCTTCCAAGGGAAGAAATAAAAATCCGGTGGCAATTTTTGCGCCGGGGATGGTCAAAAAGCTTCGGGTAGCCAGCTGATTTAAAGTACAACAAGTTATTAGCTTCAATCAGTAACACCATAATGGATCAAGTTTTGCGAGCACACGTTATTCATTGTACGTCGAATTTTCTGTTTGCGAATTAAAAGTCATCTGGGAAAACTGATGCCAGACGGATTCTATTTTCCCCCGCCCACCAGTGTGCAAGACCTCAAACAAAAATAAACAGGACTCAGGTCCAAGTCCGCCACTAATTTTAAAATTCCGGGGGATAAATCAGATCGCCCACATGCTATGGAGACAATCAGGACAAAATAATCCGAAAAACTGGGACACTTCGTGTTTAGTATATACAGGTTCTTAATAATTCCTGCATATGTATATTAACGCTGATAATCGACGGCAACAACCATAACTGCAAATACGTGTTAAAAATAGATATTCGCTGTGGGGAGTACCGCTGGGCAAAATAAGAAACGGCATTACCTAATGTCCCATTATGATGTCACCATTAATATAAATGTTGCTGTCGCTCTGACTCCGTACGGAGAGATTGTGAGTTACAAAGTGTTTTGCAAAGCTAACTGTGATTAGCCATGTTGTGAAAAATTCTTTGTCTAAAATTGCATGATCAAGTTTTCTTTGAACATAAAAATGGCGTCAGACGTCACCAGGGCTGTACCGCATTCGCCCGCTCGATTTTCCAACCGACAAATCGGGCTCTAGGCCGGGACAAGTGTGTCCTGGCTTAAGACACTTTGATGCGTTCCCTGACTCACACTTGTGACGCTGCACTCTCTGTGCCAGAGACATCCCATTGGCTGCTGACTCTTTCCAATCTCATGGTTTAATGGCGTGAAACATGTATGGCTAGAATTTGAAGGTGGTGGCTCTCAGTTTGGCCATCTTTTGAACGAACTCACCTGCGTTTGGAATAATTCAACCGAACGTATTTCTGAGACTCGAATCATCCTTACTGATTCGTAAAAACAGAAGTGAAAGGTGGTAACCTGATAAGTTGTGAATAAATATGAGTTGTAATCAGAGACATTTGGCACTGAACTTTGTGGTATTACTGCAACTTATTGCACCGGCTTTTGATTCAGAAACGACTGGGATAAGATACGTTGGAAGAAATGATGTTTAGTGGGCCGAAGAATTGACAAGTGTCATAGAGCTGGACGCTGAGTAAGTCCAGTAAAATGTGATGGAAAAAAACTCGGCAAGCACACTTTGTAGGCAATCAGGTCATTATAATTGCCAACGGTATTGCCTGCATGCATTCTAGGCATCACCTCGGTATCGAACTTACCAAACAGAATAGGTTTAGGTTTATTGTAGCGCCCCTTGGGCACTGTCAGTCCCCTTTGAACTCAGGAAAAAAAAACCTAAAACAAACTCGTCAATTTCAACTGCAAGATTTTGGTGAGAATTTTACGTTAGAGACTCGAGTAAAATATTTCCTGGCTTTCCGAATAGTACAGCTGATCTCGCGTGATCGACCTGGAATCATATAAAAAGATAATTTATCCAGTTAGTTGAATTAGGTCGATATTCTCCTCATTGGCGGTAAAACGGATTTGTAAATGCGAGGTATCCCTTATACGAAAAGGCAACCTTATAATAGAATTTGCTAAACCTTGTGCATGGTGATTGCTACTAGATAGACCATGAAAGAGCAAATTTTACCAGAGTTAAGATAATGACGATCGGGTGCAGTGGTTAATGGAAGTACAGCTTCCGGGTAGGTTGGTGTGAGTAAGCCAGCGGTAAAATTGGACGCTGAACATAATCAATTAGTTGTGAATTACTAAGATCGTTTGAAGACCCTCTGCTTGTCAAGGAACGAGGAGATCGTGCTGTTTGTGATGAATTGACCTGTGGGAAAATGTGCAGTACTTGGGTTTTGTGGGCTAAGCTTTACCACCGACGTTTATGGAGGCCAAAAAACCAAAAAGGTCCGTGCGACAACTGAACATACGTTGGCTGCGCGAGGAGCGGCGGCGAGGGCGGATGGTGTATGCTGGAGTTCCCCGAACTTCTTTGATGGTCTCAGTGTGTTGATATAGCGGTGACCGACTAGACTGGTGCAATATGTAAGGGTTCGACCGCCGTGAGAACAAGCTAGGACCGAGTTCACATTACTAGTGGAACAGAGATAGCGGTTGCAGTGAGGATGGTGGTTGGCAGGGCGTCGTAGGTGTGGGAAGGATGGCAGTCGTCGTCGCCGTCGCTAGAGAGGTTGGTGGAATAAATACATTGTTTTACGAGGGTGCTGGTGGACGGCGGCGGAGGTGCAATAAGAATGCCCGCACCGGTGAGGGCGGTCTATTTCTTGGGTTTCACGGATTTGGCGACAGAGGTGACAAGGAAGGTGTTTGAAAAGGGAACAGATGAAATTGCCATGTCGTTGTTGTTTTGGGCTCAAAGATATCCGACGCGGCACGACAAGGTTGTTTAGATGTAAGGATGCTGCGTACGCGAAGTTTGCGATTTATGAGCCGTTCTGTCGGGTTTGGCAGTGTCGGTACGGTTGTTCATGTAAATTGCCGCGCATCCCTTCCCTCAAATAATCCTGGGTGAGGGCCTCCCAGCTAACGGGACCGAGTCGTAGGCCCTAATGGTGCTTTTATAGCACCGATTTTGTCCTCCTTTAAAGCAGACAGCCGCTGGGCATACAGCCTCTTGAGGTGGCCGCCCCAGCGCAGTTCTAGTCGCCTCAGCATGGCGTGAATGCTGGGGATTCCGGTCAATACCATGAATTCCTTGTCAAGTAGCCGGCGCTGTCATGTCGGCTATAGCATTCTCAAGTTACAGCTAGGGTCGAAGTAGTTTAGTATAGTCTAGCTCATTTAAAAGTAGTATGCATTGCTTCTTAGGGGGCTGCTAAAATGATACACACAAGATTCAACCTAAAATCAGTGCGCTTCTACTGTAAACTTAGGATTAGAGCCTACACACCCTGTAAGATCGAGGACAATGGAAAATAATGAATATCAGCGTTATCTGTAGGTATGAGCAAAGTGCTGGTTTGATGTAACAGCGCTTTTCTCATCGGATGGACGGTCTTTTTCATAAAAAATGCATCCAAGTTGTGTTTGCTTGCCTCTGTTGTGTTTACCACTATAACGTCTTCGAGAGTCCGTTCTGGACACCGGCAACAATCTATAAAAAGAAATCTCGACAAACATCTAGGTGTGATAGTAGTCTTCAAAGTTTGAGATATAAAAATAGCTTCATGATTCCACTACAAGATTTTGGAAAAAATTTTTTTACACATGTATCTTTCTTTGGGAAAAACATAGTTTGAAGAAGCACACCCAGCGGTTTGCTGCAATCAGGGCTTGGAAGAATTACCACACCGGAAGACAGCCCGAATCTCGCCCGATGCGGCATGTTCCTGTCAACTTCCCGCTCAACTGCCTATAACTTAGGGAATAGAGACTGAGGGTTGTTAGGCGGGTCTCGTTTAGAAATGTACTTTGACCTCCTGCCCAATTTTGTTACCTGATTGTGAAATCCATTGATTAAGTTATTATCCTGTTGAGTCCAGGGTCTACGGGCTTGGGTCGTCAATTTAAGGCGCAGCGCAATAAACATAATGATAACTTCGAGCTCGGCGGCGTGCATCATTAACTCTGTTGTTTTGACCACCTTATAACAGTGTGTTGAAGGCATTAGAGTGACGAGGCCGTTGAGTAAAACCACGACCTGCACTAGGCAAATGGGGTGGCCTATCTCGCGTGCATAGTATATCCCGAAGTGGACAACTCTATGCTCCATACAGGCGCATATTACGATCGTACTTTAAAGAGATCTTTTGGCTTCTTAGGGGACAACTTACCCGCTAACGGGCACAGCTAAGTTTTTTCGATGCATGCCGTCTATGATATTTCTCTGGCAATTATTGGCCAGTCTTTGACGTCTATTAAACAAAGTTTGTAAAGGGAAAGTGGTAAAAAATCCAATTTTTGTGAGTTTTGTCGAAACCCTGCATTTTGGCCATTTCCCGTGCGAGTTTAGAGTGTTTTACTGGGTTGTAGTTGATTTGGCAAAAACGAATACAGTGTTTTCAAGGTCTTGCGGGCAACTTGTGCGTGACTTGTGCCAATCAGGGTGTGTCTTTCAGTCTGATGTACAGTTGCAGTCGGTTTAGCAAGATATAAAGTTCTACTTGGAGGGATCGTACCTTCCCTCTAGAATCACAAATAATGCCTATTCACTCGCCATAGTTTGTAGTTGCTACTGGTAACCGAAAGGGAGTTTAAAGGCGCTCGCCTACCTTTCCCCTAATAAATCTGATCTGATCTGGTTCTCCCACTTTCAGTGCTCTGATACAAAGGGGACCTTAACCTAAATCTCTTATAAGAATTGGGAGGCCTTTGTGTGGCGTACACTATACCCCTTTTATTAGAGTTAAATGTATTCGTTCAAACATATGAGAAATGCAAGAGAAATACGCCAGCGGCAGTCGTATGGTGCCGACATCGACCATCCAGATACCACATGTACGTAATTCTTAATACTGCTATCTGGCATGCCGCAAAGTATATGCACACCAACCATTGCCGAGAAACTACATCAATGAGCATACAATGTGAAATAATCGCATATGCACCTTGAGATCTCGGTGTCTGCATAGAACAAAGATCGTGTACGTGGGCCCTAACTATGATGCATAAGTACAAAGGGCCACGTAGAAGGGTATCTTCGTCTTTTAAACCGCGGTTTGTTGCGACGTTATTGACATCCGCCAATGAGGTCACCCTGAGAACAGTTCACACACTTCAGCAAGTCGTTCTTACAATGTAGTAAATGGGCTCTAATACGAGCAGAGTTGGCTACATTTAACCGAAATGCAAACCGCGTAGGCGGTCCTGACAATAAATGAGGCAAGACAACCTTTAATTAGCCCGTTTTCGTTCAGAGGACATCTCGGGATTGTGCTATCCAGGCAAGACAAGGTCGAGATTAGGCCACTCGGCGATTTGGCGATCATTTGTACGATCCGCCAGTTGAGTGTCCCAGCAAAACATACTGAAGCTGGACATGTACGTTGTATAAAAAAGACACTTGCGAGCAATAGACACCATTGGAACGGTGCTGATACTCATGGCTTATTAGCTGACATAGACGGTTCGTAAGCCTCCTAACCATTTTCTCTCTTTTTGTCCTCGTCATTACAATTTGTCACTATTTGGTGGCATAAGAGATATAGGCGCTCCTCAATCGGACTACACTGGTGAACACCCTTCCCCTAATTCATTATATGTAGCTCCATATAATATTTGAAAGATTTTAGCCTTGGGACTCAGTGGGCAGGGCATTCAGCCCAATTCCCGACTGGAACCAGCTGAAACACCGTGTCTCCCTGTCCTGAGCTTAGGGTACAGCCAATCAAGGTCAAAAGAAAGCATAAATATCAGTCTTAGTCCCCCGTGTTTTAGCCACCACAAGTTCCCATATTTGGTCTTTTAGCAGCCATCCTCGTTAAATTCGTTTGATTTCATTTTCATGATATAAAGTTGGTAACGTTGAAAGGCGCTTAAAGCGAATGGGCTGCACATTATTTTGTCAATTGCCGCTTTTGTTGATAAGCACCTTTTTACTTATCCGCCTGACGGCGCAAGGAAAGTAGGAAACTGTCGGTGAGATCACGTTAACCTCAGCACTAAGTCCACCAGTAAAAATTCGTTCTAACAATGTGTTGGAAACTGTGGCGTCTCCCGTCAGTATTCAACTGTACTCCTGCTTAGGGTCGTTTTCCGACGTGCATTGTCGGGAATATCACTTCTTTTGCAGGTGATGCCAGCACATACCACTCACAAACTTAGTGGGAACCTGAAGAACTCCGCTGATTTGATCGTCATTAGCCGTCCGTGTAATTACGCTAGACTTAGCGTGAAAATTGCATAAGCAACTGCATCCATCCGCCTGTACAGTGGTTCGAGTATTCGATGAGTCGAATTGACGGTCTGATTAATGCAGGGGGTCTCAGAACTTCCTTCTCTTATTCCGTCGGCCTGATTTTTCAGCCGCTCTAGGTTGCCTATCGGAACCGCCAACATCGCCTGGACCATTATGGAATGACGATGAAAGAACCCTCAAGCTAACCCCCATCAACGGCCTGCTGCGTCCTCGGCATCTTTAAAGACCAATGGTCGCCGAGTTCCTCATCTGTAGATGTTGACGTAGTCTGTGCTCCTTCGTAATAACAACTCATTTTATGAGGCTGCTTAATTATCCTAAGGGAAGCGGCAAGTTGATGGATACAGAGTCTGTAAAGTTACTGTTGCTCTGAAGAGGGTGGGTTCTGGTTTCTCGTCCTGCATCATCACGCCACGATAAATAGTTTGTGGAGTCAAAATGTATATTACATTTTGGCTGACAAGTTTCTGTCAGTAAGCAGTTTTCTGTTGAGGCCGGATTAAGCTTGTGACTCAGGCAGCTCGTGTCTTGTGCATCACGTCAAAGCGGTCTTTGTCATCTTAGGCGCCTGTGACTGACGGAGTCCCGAATGTGTGGATTGGCTGTCCGCAGGGCACATGGACACGCAACGCTGGAAAAGCGCGTGCACCTAATGCCTCCTATAACGGACGACTAATGCTGCTGCTTATGCTATCGACTTGAATTCAGTACACCATCATTAACTTCCTAGTTCTTCTTTTCCAAATTTTACTCTGACAAATCATGGATGCCAATAACCACACGGTACTTGTAATCAAATAGTTCAAAAGGCTCTCAGTTGGACGGGACACATTCACTATGATTTACTCTTCCAAATGATAAATGATAGGTAGAGCTAATAAGGAACAGATAAGGAGGTAAGTGCTTTTCCGTCCCCCCTTGTTTCATTGGAAATATCATGCATCTTGGTTTAGTTAAAAGACATATTGGCATGAAAGGCATAGAAATAGATGCATTTTGTATTGTGTTTTTCAAATGTTTCAGATTCAAGCTACCGTTCACTTGTGACATCTCTCTTCCTTACTGCAGATGGCGCTACGGTGCGTGGTCGTTGGAGGCGGTATCTCAGGTCTCTCTACAGCCTACATGCTGTCCAAACTACCAGCTAGTCTGGTTAGTCGGATCTCCCTCTACGAGACTTCTGATGAATTTGGTGGCTACGTTAAAACCGTTCAGTATCCGAAGTCCGGCTCTTATCAGGATTTGGGGCCACACAGTGCTCGTGTGGGCGGCGGCAGTCCCCTCTTCCGTCTCATCCACAGCCTGAACTTGCAGCGGGAGGTAGTATGGTTGCCTCCATCCCAGCGCCTCCTCTATACCGCGGGAACCACGCGTCCCCTCCGGATAGCTGCTCTCACCGTCCAGCCGCCCTTCACACGTTCTCCCCTGGGCCTGCTTATTCGGCGGGCATGTTCTCGAGGACCTCCCAGCCTGTCACCAGACACGGACATGTCCGTTGACGAATTCTTGCGCACCCGCTTCGACGATGAATTTGCTGACTACTTTGGCAGTGCTCTGGTGCGTGGTATTTGTGCGGCAGACTCGCGAAACATCAGTGTGTCAGCCTTGATGCCTCAAGTACGTTCCGCATCTGTTCCATCTACTTTCGATTTCAATGCTGTCACCATCAGCACCTCTTGCGAAATTAGGACTCAAGGAGACTTGCCTTTCCGGTTCTGCCCTTATCTCAACTGCCGAACTGACTGGAATCTCGTAAAACAGGATTTTCATGTCACCATGGCAGTTTCCAGGGTATTCCGCCATTCCAGTCCTCAGTCCTACGTATTTCAGTGTAACAGCCGCTGGTGGTCTTTAACTGCCTCTTCGATAAACTCAGCTAATTGCGTAGATGCAGTGAGCAGTCTCTATAGTCGAACAGCGAAGAAGTGAGTAGGGGTTGAGGGGTGGGAGGTAGTGTCTGCGATAAGGCTGTGTGCACACTGCGTCACGGGGTGGTGACGGCGTGCGTCCTTGGCTGGGAAACGGGCCGCGCCTCTTAGCGCCATGAGCGTGGCGCGTAATAGCAGTGGTGTATATCAAATTGTTCGTCGACAGAGTTGATGCCGGACACCCGGACCTTCAGCTGTTTCCCCCACCCCGCCTTATTGCTGGCTCACGCCATTGTCCGCGTACCCGTGAAGTTGAATCCGTGGCCTTCTTCCAAGGTCTGAGTAATGATTTGAGGCAGTGCAGCGCCTCGCCGTATCGCTCCTTTGTGCTCGACCATTTTCGAACTGAGTCGTCGTACGGTCTGTCCTGTATAATGACGTGGACAGTCATGGCATGGGATCTGGCAAACCGCACCAGATCGCTCACCTGTGCCCAGTGGGTCCTTCGTCTGAGTGATTCTGACACGAATGGTAGCTGCTGGACGATGGGCTATACTCACGCCTAATTCTGCGGCAGTACGTTCTGTTGCTTCTGGCACGTTCGTTATACAGGGCAGAAGGTGCCAGAGTGTTGGTGGCTCTCATGTGGGTGTGTCCGGATGCAGCAACTGCATAAGCTGTTTGGTGCGCTAATTAGTCCCTAAGATGCCGTTGTTCCTGTGCTCGCCTCTCGGGTTCACTGCGACGCGTCTTTACGCCTTAGAAGAGCACCCTAACGCAGCCGCGTTTATGTACTATATGATAGCTATAATACCTGAGTACCTGGGCTGTATAAGTCGCCCGTCTATACACCGCGGACTAGGTTCACCGTTGGATCTACGCCTAAAGAGAACATGAAGGAAGGGCAACTTCCGATCATTCTCTTCTCGTGTGGGCTGAATATCGGGGAATGTGCCATTGAACAGGTCTTGAAGGCCGGCGAATCTATCGGTCTCACTTATAGCAAACATGTCGTCCCCGTATCGACACGAAAACGCAAGTTAATAGTGGTTTAACGAACTTTTTTTCAGCTCTTTAGGACCAGTTCGGAAATTAGGCTGAATATTGGGAAAGTCATCGACGATCATTTGGTTTTCTCGTGTTTTCTGCCACTGAGGGTGAAACGATCGTTGGCAGAATGCAGTGATTTGCATTAGGTGCTCCATCTATAGAGGCCCCTCATTTCTCACTAATCTTTGGGGCGTTGACGTGTAACATCTTCAGTCAGGTTCGGTAAAATAGATGCGAATAGGGAAACAACTGAATAAAATCGTATTTTTTTCAGTACAAAAAGTTTTTCCCCGGATGCCGTCGAGAAATTTGGAGGCCAAAGTGGTGGATGTCCTTGAGCACTCTTTAAGAAAGTTCAGTTTCGAGCCATCTGTTTGACTAGTTTGTAAGTGGGCTACGTCTCCAGACGTCGATTAACTGGAAGGAAACGTCGGATCTGTTGATTTTTGGTAATTCGTAGGGCCCAGCCAGAGCTGTATCAGTTGGTTTCGTATGTCAGCGTTCGTCCAGCGCCATCATATTGTTACGCCTGAGTTGGCTTAGGAGTCCGGTTAGATGACTGATCATCTATGTGGTTTGTGAAAAAGACTTACACTTGTAGGAATGCCGGTCATCGAGGTGGGCTTGTGCCTTCCCGTCGTAATCGACGCCGTTCATCACAAAGATTGCGCATCCTTTGTCGGCTTGAAACGCTGTTACGCTCTCGTTCCTCTTCGTGTGTCAATGCGACCTAGTTCCCATCTCTGAATGTCTCAGGTGTTACTCGAAGGACCTTCTCAGATCTTACGTAAGTGGAAGTGTCATGAAGGCCACATTAACGAGCCACTGCAGTCTGGCCCTTAGTCCTGACCAGGAACAAACTACCCCTTCAGTTTGCAACCTTCCAAGCTACGACGGTTTGCGTGCCGTGATAGATTCAAGCGGGTCAGATTCATTATGGTGAAGAATACACTGATTTGCCGTGAGAATGACTTCCCCAGCGTCGGCCTTACTTCTCTCTCTCTCTCTCTCTCTCTCTCTCTCTCTCTCTCTCTCCCTCCCTCTCCCCCTCCCTTTCTCTATCTCATTTTCTCTCCCGCCCTCTCTCTCCCTCTCTCACCAATTTTTAAGCCTGTCAACCAGCTTGTGCTGGGATTGAACGAACTGATTAGCACAGCGTGAAGCCTACGCCTAGGCCTGCCACAACACTCCACCGCTCCAGTGAACGGCACTAATTATGGGCCCACGCGCAGCCGATCTGATCCCCGTTTTGGCCCACCGCATCTACGACACCGGCTATTGTTCTTGTCCAGGCGCTAACAGCTAAACCCCCTAGGGGATTACTTTCGGGGAAAGGGAAGGCGCTTGTCCGATTTTCATAAAGAGCCAGACCGTGCGGCGCACATGCTAGTCCGCAACACGCACCTGTTGGCGGTTCCAAATTATTGCTGTAGCCTGAGGGTAAACTTCGAAATACAGTAAGACCTTCACTCGAATTTTGACAAGGCTCACCCAGTGCCTTATGCTCTCGCCGCGAGGGCCAACAGAACTCGACCGTCTCCGAAAAGCCGGTGTCGTGTAAACGAACGACATCAGTAGTGCCTGTTCTGAGGGTGAATGGGCTCGTTCGCATCTGTGGAGATCGCAGACGGGTGACAAACCCTTGCGGCAGCATTGAATGCTTCTCTGCTGACCACCAGTCTGGGGGGAGGGAGGACTTGGAAGTTTTTTTAACCGTGACACTTGACCTAAAGATGCATGCAATCAGGGATTCCGCCCGTAGTCCATGGATACCTATCTACAATAAAGTGGCCTTTCACGCGAATTTACGAAATGCCAGTATGATCAGAAAGCGCGGAGACTTGTTTTACTACAAGAAACTTCCGTTCCGAGTGAATTCTCCTCTGGTGGTATACAGTAGGTGGGCTAACTCATGAAATGCCAACCGAAATTCCGAAATGTGTTGTCGTTTCGAAAAGATTAATTAAGTAGGGTTGTAAAACTAGTCAGCCTGCAACACCATTCTATAATATTTCAGTTACCTCAAGATGCCGGCTTTCGCATGGACTTCCTTCCGACTACGTGTAAGAACTATAATCTGCAAAAAATGACTACTAAAGTAGCATGCAATTTTCTCATTGATTTTCAACGTCCTTAAAATTTAATTATATTTCATGGAAAACATACATAGAAGTATTCATTCTTTTGCGCATTCGGTAGAAAATTACGTCTTCCAATTTTATACTTGACGGAAGTGTATAATTCGGCTTTCAAACACTTTTCCAATTACCGAATAATTTTGAATCCCGACCTGCCGTTACAGACGCATTCAGGGTTTCCAAACTACAAGTCGTATATTTTCCGCGTACGGAAAATCGCACATTTCGCTACGGTATTGAGGGAGACCATATGGAATTCATTAAATTTAGCAGTGGATTTGATCCATATTGTTAACTTTACAGGACACATAGGCAAATGCAGAGACATGACGATTTATGAACGGCCATTTCACGGTATTTAAGTCCCGTAATTAGAAACTCTTTTAAAACCGGATTATGTTCCTCCTTTGAGTATAAACTTAGAAGCAGACGTAATTACCTACCAAATAAGCAAAAGAATGAATATTTTTATGCATGTTTTCCACGAAATATTGAATTTTTAAGGACATCGAAAATCAATGAGAAAATTGCATGCTACTTTAGTCATTTTTTGCAGATTATAGTTCTTGCATGTAGTCGGAAGGAAGTCCATTCGAAAGCCGGCATCCTGAGGTAACTGAAATATTATAGAATGGTGTTGCAGGCTGACTAGTTTTACAACCCTACTTAATTAATCTTTTCGAAACGAAAACACATTTCGGAATTTCGGTTGACATTTCATGAGTTAGCCCACCTACTGTATTTTAGTGTATGACCTACAACTTCTTAGTTAAAGAACATTTTTACAACGGGGACTTCCGAGGTCCATCACCTTAAATGCTCAAATAAAATGTACTGCCGAAGGAAAGCCGATTTCACGCTTTTAGTCGGTGCACTTGGTTATCACGGTTTCGCAACAGACAGTCACTATCCATAATAACATAAGATAAAAGCGATGAAAAATGTCACACAGCTGCACCAAGGCAAGTTCGTAAATTGTTTTCTCTTTGCATTAAAACGGTTGTATTGATTATTTCAGAAGAACTAGTGTTGGGTGTGGTCAAAAGTGCACACAAGCAACTTGAGCGCATAAATTCAGCTTTGAGCTCGACAACAGTTATGATCCATTTTCACCCATTGGATGCCCTGTGGAACAGGGTGCTTATTTTCTTCGTTTCAATATTGAGGGCACAAGCACAGGCCATTTACCTCAATTCTGTGAGTAGTGTCTGAAGCCAACCGGCTCATTTGCACGTCTTCTGGTGAAAATTTGAAATCAATCCGGTCCATAAATCCCCACTCGTTTTGGTGACGAAAATTCAGGCCTTCCGGTAAACGTAATCCCCGACGATATAACGACTGTCTTTGATTTTATTTTCCTATTGAAAAGCCGTTTTCGGTAGCAAAAATTTGGTTGAGGACACCCTGAGCAGTCTTCCTATAGTCCTTCAAGTGGCCGAAGGTACGAGCAGTATGTTATTACCGACAAAGACAAGGGAGACTGGAATGGCAATTTCTGGCTTATTAGCCGTCGTCAGCCAGTCATACCCAACCCCGAAGTGTGGCACACCCGAGGCTCGAACTCGCGACCTGTTTGTGAGACGACTACGCCTCTAACCACTGGGCTACGAGCCCGTTGCCCTGTCGGTTTTGATCAGGAATATACACCGGTAGGGGGGCCTTCACCGATCGTATTTACGGAACTCACTCATTCCTTTGTGCTTTGCGTTGTGCCTTGCCCGTAAGGCACAACGGAACCAGTGAATTCCGTAAGAACGATCGGTGAGCGCCCTCCACCCACCATTGAAGGTACAAGCGTCTGAACCAATCTACTAGTTACAAAATCATAAAATGATACTACTAAGTGTTCCATGCTCTAGACAGTGGATGGCTTGAGACCCTCTCTGATCGCAGACCAGGTTAGCACTGCAGCGTAGGTGGTCATCACGGAACGAGCATGTCCCAAAAACCCGACCGGTGAACGCAGTTCCTACTTGTTTCCTTGTCCTTTTTTCCCCTTCCTGGTTTTGACCTAGGACGGAAGAGTGTAGCCTATGCTACGCAGGACCAACATCTTGTGCAAACGTGTGTTAGTGCGCTAGTCTGTGTCTCTCCCTGTTTGCTCGATGATGCAGCAGCCGCGGATTGGCTGGCCGATTGCACGCGTGAATTTCGCAGCCGGTTTTGCTTGACGTACCGTGCGTTTTCGCGTTTTCCTTCCGCTTCGGGTCGTAACTTGATTCTGTTTCCGTCCTTCATAACGCCACTCTCACGTACTCCCTCTTCGTCGGGTTCAAGATGAGTTTCCTTAGCGACTGTGTTCTACGGACGGCAGGCTATGCTGGACGACTGTCTACCTTGAAAATCGAAATCTCGAAGATATTACGTAACGGATGGAGTGCTACTTGACCGCTACCTGAACATGCTCCTGGTTTGGACGCATTTCGATTGTTTAGCTTGTTCTTCCTACCTCGAACACCGCGCCTCTGAATTTCCTGATCAAACCCCCAACCCACGGTTTCTCTCCGCGTTTGTAATTGCGGGCAAACACCCCTTCCCCTTCTCGAAAGTAGGGTTATGACGGTTGGGGAACTTGAACCTCCGGTTTAAGGTACTACAGTCGTACATCAAGCTGTCGACCTAAAAGCACTGGGCTGGTGTTTGGCCATCAAAATCACTTTTTGATCATTTTGTAGGCAGGAAAAAAGTGTATTGCGGCGGTCTATTTTAACTCTTGAGTCCAAAATCATTTTCATTGCCCTCTTGAAGCTTTCAGCGAAAAGCCGCCTCGGCGTTAAATCGGGAGCGAAATGATGGCGAGGTCACGTGCTGTATTCCAAATTTCTGACATTTGTTGAAGCACTGATGACGTGAACCGGGTACCGTTTTTTCTCACAATCTCTGTGGGGATGCCAAATCAGTCAGTAGCCATATCAAAACAACTTTCAGACTTTTGCTAAAACCAGGCTCCCGTTTTCAGAAATAATGTCTACACAAACTTTCCTATTTCTTACAGAAGATATGCGAATAGGGCTAAGTCCCAGGACTTAAACCACGCAACCATCAACCAAAAACCCCACTGAGGGACCGAAAGATTGTGGGTGACCACCCGCAATTCTTCTGCTCCACGTTACGGAAATAATCCACACTGAAAGCCTGCTTAACCATATGCCACTGCATGTGGACGAAAGAATGTTGACGGAAGCGAAGAGTGGATTCCCAAAGCACCTTAAAGCTAGTAAACTGCCTTTCGACCCCGTAAAATACCCGTACTGCCGCCCCCGATCAAACGAATTCCTCATATACGGTGAAAGGAAACGGATGCTATGATATGTCTTATCAAGGGACATTTGAGGGAGGTTTGTCTTGGCGAAAGTGCCCTTGAAAAGCAACTGTGCCTCAAGTTGTGAGTCCTTTAGGCTCTCGGCCTTGGTTCAACAAAAATCTGATACACAAACTTCTGTTAGGAATCACTTAAATGCTTCGACTGCCTCAAGTTTGAAACTGTTATGGCTACTGACTGAATCAAAGTAGCTGGTTTATCTTCGTTATCCATTTTGCCCGCGACCCTTATTTTTAGTCAAACCCTACAGACAGGGTCTCTATGTATGTCAGCCACTACGCCCACTCCTGACATCGGATATCTGACCGACCCCAACAGTAGACTGGTGTCTGGGAATGGGAATAGAGAATGGGATCGACGTCTCAGCGCATTTTCCTCACTATAGACAATCTGATGTGCCTGAAGCTATCACATTGTGCCAAAAACCATGGCTTGGAAGGTTGTCCTTTGATGGGATAACTCGGACCTCGCAGCCAGCCCAATGTGTATTTGTGTGGAGTGGCGGACTGAGAGTCAGGCTGCAATGACAGCTTCCTGACGCGACCTCTGTGGTACTTCCAGTCCGCGGGATCCGAGCCGGGTGTGAGCGGCACGCCTAGGTGCATGCTTACGCTGAGCCAGCCACCTGCGCCCTCTTCCACCTCCAGTCTTATTGACTTGGTTGTGAGACCGGACCCAGATGGGGGAGGAGGGGAGAGTGCGGTAACTGCTGCACAAGTCCGTCGTCACTGCAAACTAGTTCACGTGCAAGTCACCGTCCCTGCTCTCATTCTGCTGTAGAGCACACAGAGGGCATCGTCGAAATCGACGGTCGAATTGTCAGGAACATGCAGCTAAAGAATGGTCCAGCTGGTCATGTCACCTCTTGCTATGACACCTACGCTACGTCCAAATGGGCCGCAGCTTCAAACGAAGGATTCCACATCATAACTTCCCAGCCATTGCACATACCTTCGAGCCATCCGTATCCGCGTTTCGTGTCCTGGAACTCACGTAAAACCTGTTGCTGATATTTGTACTGAAAATATAATCTACTTGCGACAGCACATTGTCTTGATAGAACCGGCCTTGGGATGCTGGAATGATCTTCGTAAAGTAAGACTTGAATATTCATCCGTTATATTCTCTTGACCCACTGGGCTGTTTGCGGGCCTTTTCAGTTCACGAGCTTCTGAGACCTTATCTCCATCTTCTCAACGGAACGGAATTCTGTCGTCGACCAGCATCATTCATCAGTTAGACGTCTGTGCTCCTCGCATTCACTTATTCTGAAATTGCAGAAATGCCTAACAAGAGTCGCACAGACACCGAGCGAATAATTCCGGCCATTTTCTCAAAACACTCCTACCCACGTGTTCACGTTTCTCGCAGTTTTAGACTTTTTTGATGTCTTTCTCACTTGCTCGCTTAGTCAGTTCCAGCTTCAACAGATGAGAGACCGGGTATTATGATGACAAGAAAACGTCACTTTCTGTTGATCATACAAACTCAAACTCTTGTCTTAAACCCATTTTCTAATAATACTACACTGTAACATCGGCGCTGCCATCTATGTTTGAAGTTACCGGCGTAAATCATTGGACGACACCTAAGTGTGCTCGGGGATTCATTAGTGCGTTTATTTGTTCACAGTCCCCTTAAAACTGGAGAACAAGTGCGAGGTCATTCGGTCATCCGGGAACCAATCCTGTATCGTTACTTACGAAACGCCAATTTAGATCAGCGTCTTCCACAGTATTTGTACTGTAGAAATACAACGTCGTCGGTCATGCGGGTGGCCGAGCCCATTTTTTCACGAAAATCAACTCATAGTGCATATTGTGTCAGCTCTATAAGCTAATATTTTTTCTCAGGGTTCAAAATATGAACATATATATGTACTTCTTGCACTTTCTTTCGGATTGTGCAAACTCTTCAAATTCTGCGCTCTTTGGTGTAGTTGGTCAAGTGGGACGCCAACGGTCCTAACATCTTGCTTGGAGCTGCCAAGGATATGTTGCTACGCGCGTTCGGACTCCGGACTGCGAGCCTGCCCCCGGAGATGGAGACTTTCCTGCCAAACCCGACAGGCGTGAAGCCGCCTCGGAGTCCGCGGGTGCTTTCCTTTCGCAAGGGCATGCAGACCCTGACTCGATCTCTGGTGGACCACCTCCGCGAGGCACCAAATGTTACGCTGCGATCTGGTGCCACGGTTTCCAGTGTGGATTGCAAAAGTGGGCAGTTCGAGGTCAGTTCTCTAACAGGACGTACACCTTACTGTTTTACTTCTTTTCGCCAACATATGCCAAAAATACTTATCGATGGAAGTATCACACTTGGCCTTACGGTAAAATGCTGTCGCTTGTGAAGTTATAGTGACAAATCCTGAGCCCGAGTACCACGTAGCTTTTTTCTGCAGCCGACTTACCGTGTGGCTAACGATTGTCGAGCCACAATGGATAGTGGTCCTGGGATTTGGTGACAGACTATTTTTTGGGCTTCATTGACGGGCTTGTGATTGCTCCGTCGCCTCCTCATTTAATTACATCATAGTGCTTCTGAAGTAAGATATGTAGCAACATAATACGACCACTTTTTAATGGTGAATTAATCAGACCAGGACGAGAGCGCAGCATTCCTATTGTTGTCTTAGAATAGTCTTGCGCCGTTCATTGGCGGTAACGACCGCGTGTAATCAACTATCTGCCAGTAACAGCTGTCTTTGTTCCCTCAGCCTCTGACAGAACTAGCATTGTTCTAAGTTGACTGACGAAGACGAGAGATTAAGATTGGAGCTGTTTTAGCCGAATTTATGTGCTCTTGAACTCGCCCTGCCCCCACCCTTGTGGGTTCGCGCTTTAAAAGGCGCCAAGCAACGGTACGTGAGCATATTCCAATACAACTAGACACCCAGTCTACCCTGACAAAGATGAACTGGCTGGGAGGTGCAACTGACCACCATATTTGTTAACTTTGCTTCTGGAAACAAACAACTCATTGCCACTTATCCTCATCATAAGTGCTTACGCTGCAGAATTACTTCGACCGACTCAAGAAGTGTTGATTCGATGTCACATAACTAAGCTCATCACAGACACTTGTAGCCAAATAGTCACAGCCGACCACTCGCGCAGTACAACGCACAACATTTTAAGACAGCTGGACCACCCCTAAGGTATTGCAATATGTACCACTTCAGTACAGGCGATATTGAATTACCTGGGAATTGACTTCTCAGCGCCCAGTGTAACACCCATTACTTGAGCTGCTATAGAGGTTTGGTTAGGTCTCGGTTCGATGTCACTCGTGGGCTGTGTGAGCTGTGTGTGGGCACGAGCATCGGCTGGTGACAGATGGTGTTCTGCTCGTGACCCTTGCTGCCAAAGTAATGGGTTAGGCTGTTATGGGACACCTACCAGATCCGTATGTGCTTATTCCACTGATAACCAGAACTCATGAGTGTAAGATTAGCGAGGCACGATAGACTTTATCAGGCGGGGAGTAAATTGAAAATCAGACGTACGTTCGAGGTGATTAGACGAGCAGTCAGCAAATGACGCCAATGTTTGGAGGTCGGGTTAAAGGCAAGCGGCCGCAAAGATTGATAAACAATGGACGACGAACAATGACAAAGAACGACGAGAACCGACGAATAGGCATGCAGAAACGGAGGCAGGATGACATGGATAAACTCTGGTTACTAATAAACTCATATTGACCCAACTGTGAAAAACTCGGCGCCTCGGTGGGATTCGAACCCACGCAGTAAGGGGAAGGCTTTAGCGCAGCCAACGCTCTAACCACCTGAGCTACGAGGCCCCGCCGGACGACGCGAGTTTAATAAACTGTTAGTAGCAATATAATGACAACAAACATATCTCCGTGTCTTCGCCTGATTCGAATTCGATAACTCGTAAGTGTGCGCTAACAAGTTCCGTAATCGATCTCCCTGTTAATATTCTTAGATTTGCTCGACTCAGTGTCAGTTTATTCGCCAGAATAGACGCACCCGAGGTCAACCGCTGTGTCAGGTGATAGTCGTAATAATACGGATATTCTTTATGGTTCTATAGCAAAAAACTATGATATTAGCGGGGCACGATAGAGTTAATAAGGCGGGGAATAAATTGAAAAGCGGACGTACTTTCGAGGTTATTAGACGAGCAGTCAGCGAATGACACCAAAGTGTGGTGGTCGGTTTAAAAGCCAGCGGAGACAAAGAGTAATAGGCAATGCACAAAGAACAATGAGCAAATAATGACGCGAACCGACGAATAGGGGTACAGAGACAAAGACAGGATGGTATGAGTAAAGCCTGGTTATTAGTAAGCAGTTAGTAGCAAAATCATAACAACAGCCAGATCTCCATGTCTCCGCGTGATTCGAATTCCATCCTACTCAAGGAATGCCAGAGTGAGGCTGACTTAAAATTTCGCATAATCTATTCGCTCATGGTAGAGATTTGACAGAACAAGCGCGATTGACGTGAATAAAAGTTTTTGTGCCTTTAGATTCTTCTTCGAATTGTACCTCCATGGTCTGATATACAATTCCGTTATTCAGCGTTGATATGACGCTATCCTTGATTTTGCCCTTCATTCCTAGAGCAGACACGAGACTGCCATGTATAGGCGTTGATTCGGAACCGTTATCAAAACTTGCAAAAGTTCATGCCCTATGTCGTTCGTACCGTATGTTCACGGCTACTATCCTACCAACAAGACTTCATTGACGAGGGACCAACCAAAGACAAAGACCTGTCTGCAAACAATCGTATCGAGATAGCTTTGCTTCGCTTTTGCGTCCCACGATCATGTAGGCGACTGCGCCGTAAACGGTTTCCGAGGCGTCACTAAAGACACGGAGCTGGAACTCAGCTTGGTTTCGCCCCTCTGGCTTGATGCATCGAGATACGGAGAAGTGTTCGAGGTTAGGCATTGCATTTAACCACTTTCTCCACATTGTCAACTCTTCGCCGGATTTCTCTTCGTCCCAATCTACTTTGTGTTTACATAACTCTCGCAGAACCTTCTTTGCGGGTATTGTCACTGGGGTAATGCAACCCATCGGATGAAAGTAAGACGAAACATGTGGAAGTATGTTCCTCCTAGTGGACGGTTTGGTCATGGGACGCAAATAAAAGCGAAATTCATCGCCCTCAAGGTCCCAACCCACGCCGAGAGCTAGATGGATTGCGTAATCCCGATGATCCAGCTCTATGGGTGTGGTGGCCTATACCGATTCGGGTATACACGTAATTAAAGCGACACTGTCGCTCTTCCATTTGTTCAGGTTGAAGCCTCCTTCGCTTAACATTGACTTTAGCTGCATTGAAAACCGGAGTGCCTCGTTCTCACCTCGCACACTGACCAAGCAATCGTCTACATAGAAGCATCGTTCCGCCTTCTCCATAACATCCTTATCGTAACTTTCGCACTATCGGTGACGGCTCGACTAATCACGAAGGTAGCACAACTTGGAGAAGAGGTAACCCCAAACAAATGTACCGTCATTCGCTATTCTTTCGGTGGTTGCGATAAGTCGTCATTCGTCCACGAGAGAAATCTTAAAACGTCACGGTCTTTCTCAGGCACCCGCACTTGATGGAACATCGATTCAATGTCGGTCACAATGGCGATTTTCTCCTGTCTAAATCTCAAAAGTAACCCGATTAGCGAGTTGGTTATATCAGGTCCGGAGAGTAGTTGATCGTTAAGGGAGCACGTTCAGATGAAAGCCAAACGCCGGCTGAATCCTTGTAGCCCGAGGAAATGAGTACGGTGACATACTGTCGAAAATAGCATTTCTGAGGGCAATAACCAAATATGGACGTCTGTCTGAAGAAGGTAACTAACAACTGTGCAAGTATAGATCTCGGGGTTGGGGCTACATTTCGTTCTTGCCCTGGGACTACGCACCCACGAAAATGCTGTCAGAATTCCTCGTTTGGGGTGGCCGTCGGCTACAGCGTCCTGCTGTTGCAGTGTCCAGAAAAGAAGTGCTGACCATGGCCTGGGTTTTTCAGGTGTGATGAAGTTTTGATAATCAGGCGCAGTGAATGGTGCCCAAGGGCGACATCTAAAAGCCATGTCAGCCAACTGCAGCGGGGGGGGGCGGCTTTCCCTGGTACTGCCTTAGCCTCAGCTTTACTAACCACTTCGACGGTGCGATTATTTCCGATTCATATTTGACTGGTTAGGTGAAGTAGGTTTCTGCCACGAAAAAGGCCCACATTTACTGGGAATGTAGCACCCGCTTTACGTGCAGTCAGTGAAGTTTAAATACTGAATTCGTATCTTAGTTCAGAAAAGAAGCTATTCTAAGCTAACTGACTGGTGTTCAGGAGATTTTTGTCATTCAGACCTTTTACTTATATAGTTCAGGTAAGAAGGGTACCTATTCGACCCTGTCCTCGTCGTCGTACAAATGTACCGGTTTACTCCACATCTATAGGTTGTCTTAGAATTATTCACAATGATCGATTAGGTCATTTTCGAAGGCGTTAATCTTAAAGAGCATTGCCGAAAAATTGTTCTGAGGGGCATCCGGGAATTCGCAACTAGAGGGGGAGTGTACTAGAGCCCACTAAACTGTGATCTGCATGACGTCTGCACCCCGGTACCTGCCCCTAACCGGCTGACTAGTTCAGTCGAGGGTGTCTGATGTGTAACTCCGGTAATCTCTTTATTTATCCTTTTACTCCTCCTAAAAAGAAGAAGCGACAAACAGTCCCAGAGGCGGTTCAGCATAATTCTGGTCGTCTTAGCAAAATTTTGGGCTCACTGTGGAATTTGACAGCCGCCTGTGGAGCATTGCTTCCCCCTTACGGAAGAAGTGGCTAGAAAATGTGTCCCAGTCAGTCAAACCGTCTGCAAATCAACCACAAGCATAATTTTCATGGAGCTCCAACTGCAAGAATAATCTTAAAAAATGACTATTCTCTACACTGTCATCGATCTAGCAAATGGCCTTGGACACCGCGAACCGTGATGGAATGCGAATGTCCGGAAACACTCACTTAAATGGAGACACTGTCATAAATCAGCAATTGCGCCCAATTGCATCAGCATTCGGCCAAATGGCTCGGGCAGGTCGCCGGCGTATGGAAGAGGGAAGCAGAGAGCCAAGTTAATCTAGTGCTTAGGCGGCCTGCCATGGATAGTCACCCGTCATTTAATAACATCATACGGCACTAATAGTCAGTGGTAGGAAACTGCTGATGCTTAGGACTTGGGGTTGGGCCTCAGTGTCCCTTCCTTGACGAGGTGCGAGACCCCCCAACGAGGCCTGGCAAGACAATGCCTTCTGAGACACGCGTAGCCTGACTGTTTGGCTGTCAGTCGCAACTCCTGTCATATGTAATCGCCTCCGTAACACGGCGGGTGTGGGAATGGAGAGTAAGTAGACGCGACGCAAGTCTGTTTCACTATAAACAAATTCACGCGCAATTCCCTGCTTGGCTCACTTCATGGAGTAGTTTTGTATCCCGTAGCTTGCCACCGTCCATAATTGATCGCATGGCATTTTTACGAGCAACGGATGGGATAGAAATCAGACGAATAAACCACAAAATCTGACCTCGCCGACCTCAATTTTCGTCCTTTGGCCAGTTGACAAAATCATATCTCGGGAAACAGAGGAGCCTGGAGTGAGCATTTGCAAGCATTGAGGTACTTTTTAAAATGCTACTTCCCAACTTCTGCTGACGAATACGGAGAAATGGGATATTTCCTTTGTGCGTTTTGATTTTGGAGGGGACGTCTCAACCCTAGTCTACGAAACTTAGCGACAAATGCCGTCCAAATTCTCTACGATTTTCCAATGCCCTGTGAAAATCGCTGATGGCTGTCGACTTAATTTTGCCAGCTTTCTAGGCTGGAAGTCGGTATCAGTTGCAACAGTCACCGCAGATGTTTTGAAGACTTTCGACCTGTTTTCTAACTTAAGGTTAAATTGCCGCCACCTCAGGTGTGCTTGGCAGTGTCTGATTTAGTAATGTAGTCTAGAAGAGGCTACCCTTTATTGGAAGTAGTTCATCTGAACATGGTATCTCCCCAAAAGGTTGGCTTGTGCTAGAAGTGTAAGGACTTTTGGCTTAAGCATTGTCATGATGGCACTAAACCATAACCGTTTGGTAACTTCCTAGCAGTCCGCGCTCTGGGGAACATAACTCCTTTTTGTTTATAAAATACCAAGGTGCCTGCTTGTGGGTGTGCCGTAAGTGATCTGCGTATGACTGTGCCGTGCGTTTTTTAGATAATTGGTTTAACAAATGGCCGTCATGGTCCCTTTTTAATTAACTTATCCCCCTTGCCTCCGGGGACAAAACAGAGGCGGGTATCTCACAAACGGCCCATTCTGTGCACTGTCTTTGGAACAGTTTCCCCTTGAATTTAGCATCTTGTCGTGTTTGTCCATCTTTATAATGCATTCCCCTCACCGCCAGCTCCACCTACGCGAGGGTCAAGGTTCGCTGTACCGACAGGAACACGCTGACTCCGTCTTCCTTTGTGCGCCGGCCTCCACATGTGGCGCCCTTCTCGAGAAGAGCGCACTTCTGCCGACGCAGAGTGAGGCCGCCGCACTCCTCCGTCCGTCCACTCTACCATCCGCCAGCATCGCAGTGGTGGCCCTCGAATTCGACGGCGACCTCGGGCAGTCATCTGAGAAGCCCTACCAACGTGCTTTCGGTCATCTAGTGCCGCGCACAGAGTCCGGCCAAGTGCTGGGCATCGTCTATGACAGCTCTGTGTTCCCTCACCTTGACGGTCCTGGTGGCGACCGTCGCACGCGTTTTACGGTGATGTTGCAGCCGCGCCCCGATTGGCTCACCGCCCACACCGCAGCGGCGCCCTTCAACCTGGCAGAGCCTATCCGGGAGGAGCTGCTTGGGTTGGCTCTTGAAGCCGTGCGAACGCATCTGGGCCTGAAGGTTTCGCGACCAGAGAGGAGTATGGTGGGAATTTGGATGCACAGCATTCCCAACTACCCTGTGGGTCATGTACAAAATGTGCGCCGTGTTAGGCGGGCCATCGAAGAGACCATAAATGCCCGTGGTTGTGGAGGACGCCGCTCACTGCACCTTGTGGGCGCCTCTTTTGACGGTCTTGGTGTGGGTGATTGCGTTGCAAGCGCTGCCAAGGCTGTTCTCAAAGTATCATGCTCCACCAGCCAAGACAATGCCCTCTGAAATGCCAACCTCTATAAATAATTCGACCCCCTAGTCTTATCTATTCTTGATATCATTTTTGTATCGAGATTCTTCCTACTAGGCCTCTGACTTCGTATAGTCGTTCGAACACTAGCCTATTCTCATTTCTTCATTTGTAAAAAAACCCACAACACATGGGCTTCTTAGGTCATTTTTTAATATAGCGTTTATGAACGAGGTTTTTGTCATCGTTTAAAACCCAGCGAAGGAGGCCTCTTCTTATGTCTACTGACATGACGTAAACTGAGCGCATAACCTGGGAAGGAGAGTTTTTGTCATTGCTGATCGGTTGACCTAAATTCATGGTCTATTGTATAGTCCCTGGAAACTTACCGCAGATATTGTTCGGATTTAGGCCACTAGACATCGGTGGGCAACTCAACCATAAATTAAAGTCTCAAGGTGGGTGGTAAAGTGTTCGCGTCTAGCACGGGAGAGACGCTTACAAAGTAGTCTGGGTGGGTGTTTGCACTCAGTCACTGGGAGCGCATGCAAATGCGAACACGGGTCACCGCGTGGACACATGCCAAACATTGTTTGACAAGTTTCAAACGCAACATGCTACACCTCTTAGCCCCACAGAAAGAATATACTACAAGAGAAACCCGGATTGTTGGTGCAAGTCGTCCACATTGATTCACAATTGGAAGAGTAGTTCGGGAATGAATCCGTATTCTCACCTCTACTCGGTCAATCGATGGAGACTTGATTGTATTGTGGTGACCGTGGGGGTACAATGAAGTCGTCCTCGGCCGTATTCGGGGCTTAGCTTCGGAGTCATGGCAGCGCACTACGAATTGGGGCTCGGAAAGACTCAGTCGGTACCAACCATGTTCGCCGGGCTGAGGGTACAGCCGGGACGGCTACCGCTCTTTTTGGTCCTCACTTGCGTGACATCCGAAACCCAAGACTGAGGACCGGTCCCTTTGTATTTAGACGGCTGCACATGCGTGGCTCGCGTGGATACGACTGCTACTGCCGGTCAGTGCCTCCGCACCCGTCCCCAGTCGTAGACTCCCTCCTGATACTACAAAGTAGGGGGTGTACGTATCTGACCCGCCACAGACTAGCCCTGCGCATTCTGCGCGCCGACAGTAGCTCTAATTGTCTGCAATGGGACTGATACGAGAACAGTGTGGTCGACAGCTGTAGCGGGGAGCGTGCCACCAACTGACCGCTGGATTGTATGCGTATGCTATCAGGGGGAGGGGGTGTCTTCGTCAGACCCACCACCTTATCTGCATATCACCAGACGCTTGACCCACTAGTGTTTCGCCGGTGAGACGACTACAGATTCCTTGTGAGCGCATCGTAGGGTCTCCTGGAACCCCTGTTTATTACTAGCTCTTCCATGAGCACCTAATTGTTCGATGCCGCAAATTTCGAGCAAGGGGTGCCTGGACAATACTTAGGCAGGTGGATGCCCCAAACAGGCCACTTTGAAAACTTCAGAAGAGATTTACTGACTTAGTGCTGTAGGCGGCGCGAGTCCTGTACACTGAAGTCGGGACCCTGTCTGATGCGACTGCGTCTGGTATTCGTAGTCACAACGAGACATTAACGCTGAATGACGCGAGGACAATCAAGATAGTAAAACAGCTATCCTTTAGCCGGCTAAAGTCATCGATGTTTATACACTTCAGTAGAGGGCCCGATAGAGAACTTTCTCAAAGATTTCCAGGCTGGCATGCTCGTCACGCTCATACACGGCGTAAAACAGGAGACATCACACGAAATCGTCCCTCAAGGGGCCTTCGTGAGGTCGGACCACGCCGAAGAAACTTATAAGTTAGTAAGACTGACGTATAAACATGCTAGGTTACGCCCATGCCGAGTACGGGTTGTGGCGCACGCTGGTAAGCTGGTGGTCGGCCTTAGATGCCAGCGCGTCGCACTTGGTACAGGGAATGGTAAGGCCACCGGCCAGCCTGCTTTCAATGGCCATATTAACTCCTGACAGAAAAAAAGAACACGGCTCCACATGGTAACCCCAAGGATAAAGACAAAAACCAAGCGACCGCATAATTCACGAATCAAAGACGCTATTTTGTGCAGATGTCAACAAATAGCTAAAAGGCCAAAAATGAGAAAAGTAAAAGTGTATTTACAGGGACAAGCACTCGACAACTAGAACTTTTTTACAGATAACCAGAAAACTCCCAAGTATTAAGGAAAACATCCAGTTATGGGGACTTCCATCTTTTAGAAATAAAAGAAGGCACCTGCGGTTCCCCAACACGTGGTCATACTTGCGATAAAATGAGTTGCCAAGATATAAGGCCTGGAGAAAGAACAATAGATGAAATTGTTTACTTACAAAGCCAATGTCATCTCTTTTTAAAGCCATATTTCTTTCGCTCATAGAATAAGTCAGTTTTAGCACTGCCGAGATTGACAATTTTGGGACAACCGTCTCGCTGAATTGGCATGACAGAGAAAGTATAAACCTACATCCTTTTCCATGATAGTACACTGCCTGCAGTAATAAGCATCCGAAACGCCAGGACCCCCACAAATAACACAACGTCCTTGATAGGAACCATAATTACACTCGTCACATATCCTGACGAGCGTGCATGGGCGCACATAGGAATCACATATCACGCATTTTCCATCACACTTTTCGCAGAGACGGCCAATAGCTAAAGAATGTGTCAAAAAGGTGGCGGCAACATACAGACGCCCGGTTGTTTCCGGCAGAATATAAGATCAGGATGGTGCTTGGCCATGATTATTTAGGCTTTCCCGAAAACCGCCTAAAAGTGTACTGGTCATTTACTCAAGGTCAGTCTAAATCAGTCATTCGTGATGTCGCAACGCTCGAGCATATGGTTTTTTAATGTTGCTGAGTATGGACCCTCCAAAGTCGGCAGTCCTTCTTATCTTTTCAATAATTTCCCAAGTTCGGCAGAGTCTGAGTTAGGTTTCATTATATACGCATCCGATCTACCATATGGTTGACCAAAATCTAGAATGAGAGATTCTCGACGGGACAGATAGGAAAGGTAGGAATATTCGATGATGAGTTGGTATCTGCAAAAATTGTTCCCTTGTGACTCTCGGTCAGTGGTTCCTCCTATGTTCCTTGCAGATTTTATGTCGGATCCTTGTCTCAACTCTGCAGGCACTCAATCCGACGGGGTCACTTTTAAAATCATAGACAAAATCCGGTAAAGCAACCCCTTTAAAACACTGTACGAAACTTTTAGACAACCGTATATCCGCAGATGTGCGCCTTAGAGTATCCCCTTCTCAAAAGACGGCCATGTTTTTGGGACCGCTGAATGGGGTGAGTGGGAGGTCACTGATCTCGGCCTCGTGTGTAGGCTGGGGCACAAGGCCGGACGTGATGGTAGGGAGAGAGTCAGTGGTCACATCAGAGGGTTCGGCCCTTGTGTGGTGTTAGTTTAGCATAATGTACTGTAAATGTGGGACCTTAGGGCATCCGTGCATCACGTACGATATATGCGTTGTGAGGTAGGACGTCCGCAATGACGAAGGGATCTTTCCGCAGGCAGAAGAACCTAGCTGGAATTTCCAACGCAGGTACGGATCCAAAGCCTAGAAATAGGTGCCTTCGTTGTATGGTATATAGTGGGAGCATCGGTTAAAATATACTTTCCGTCTATCAAAGGAGGCTTTGGAGTGAGATCGAGCCAGATTATGCGAAGTCTGCAGTGTTGTTTCACAGTTCTGAATAAAAATTTTTATTAAATACCCGTCCGGGTCCCATCAAAGCCAGTAAAAATATATTTACGTGCGAATTGTAGACGAGCTCGGCAGAAACTGTACAAAATGCATTTTTTAATTTCTGAATTAAGAAAAATGACTAGCGAGAGGTGAAGAAACTCCAATTAAAAATTTAAAAATGATTGAATTAATTTTACAGGAGAAAATAAACGCTTAAAAATAATTACAGAAAAATGCGGGCAGGAATGGCCTGCATGTGGCGGTATATAACGGATTATAATCGGACATCGACAGGGCAGAAATAAATGTCAGCCTTGACTATAATCGGACATCGTCAGAGCAGAAATAAATGTCAGCCTTGAGGGGTACGTT